CAAAGTATTAGTTTAAGGGTGTGCATACTTATGCAACAAGGTTGTTTTAGGTTTTTATTTTTTATTTTTCCCTTGTGAAGATTTCAGTTTGTTTTTCAATTGCCTATTACATGTTATGGGTCACATTAAAAGTGGAAAAAGTTATGAAATGATTTATGCTTGTGTCTTTTCTTTACATCACAAAAACCTGGCTTTGAACAAGGGTGTGTAGACTTTTTATATCCACTGTAACCTTGAGCCCTAATTCATCCAATGTAAGAGATTTTAGAATGAAAGATCAACAGTGATCACCTAGCTTTTTTCTATTAAATTATTTCTCTCACACAAAATTCATAAAATGGTTATAAATTTATGTCAAATTTGCCTTTTTCTCCGTTTTTTTGTGTGTGTATAGTTTCAATGCACACAAGGGAAATAAACTGAATATATACCTACAAAAACGTGTAGCGATCAATCATGAAAGAAATACTTATTTTCATGGAAAAATGTCAGGGGCCCATACACTTCCATCCATGTCTGTAGGCCAATATCAGAGACTTGTAAACGAGCTTATGCAATACTGTAAACCCTGCGCTAATTTAGTAAGGTACTGTTTTAAAACAGCTGGAAAATCACAGCGCTATTAGACATTCGAATTGCATACACATATGTTAGCAGGCTACATGAGCAAGTTTTATGACTACAAGAAAATGACGATAATTTGCAGTATTAGCTATTCAAACTGCATTCAGACACGATCTCATGCACGTGGCAAGTTGAAATAAATTCACTGTCAAACTGATGCATTGCATACTGGTCATATAAAGTATTAAAAATACAAGAAACTAACCTTGTTTATCGGTCGGGTAGCAGAAAACTATGGCTTGTCTGCAGCGGCAAATTGGCCGATGTATGCATGCGCAGTTAACTCGGGTAGGAAAAAACTTCAGAACACTGGAACTTGTTATGAAATGCAGTATGTCACTACATTTTAGCGTTTGTTAGCATGAAAGCTTTGGATCTACAGTACTTCATTTGTCTGCGTCAAAACCTTCTGGAATAGTCCGTCTTGTGGATTCATCTGTAGTGGACTTTTTGTTCATCTCTTTTTCAATAAAAAAATACAATAATTGAATTAAAGTGCAAGTTTAGTTGGTATGTGGCACTAAAAATAGACTGTCGGCTTGTTTCATTAGCATGGTGTGTCAAGGTTAACCACGGCTTCCCCAGAATACGCTGAAGTTACTCAGATCATTTTTACAACAGACATTTCTTCCACACTAAAAGACATTGTTGTATTTATATTTCAAAATAAGTATTGGGAGAGTAGAATCCTTGGCTGCAACCAAATTGACGTACTATGGACAAAAGTTCAAGTTTATTTTCTATTCCTTCTGGAATGCTGTCGTAATCAGAGAAAGGAAAATGAAGCTTTTCAGGTTTCATTTCTTTGTTCGGAAGTCTCAAAACAAAACACAGGAAGTCATGATGCCTTCAGGGACAGGTGTGCTGTCGAAAGGCAAAGTTAGTGAAACTGTTGAGTTGATTTTAAGAAATATTCAGAACAAATGAAACGGCTCACAGTTGGAAGAACCTTCAGAGTATTAAGTGTCACTTTTTTTAAGGGCTTCACTCAACAAACCAAACTTGGTCGTTGATTTACTCGGCACCACATTGACCTGCTCCTTACTTTGAACAGTTTGCTGTGTTAATGTCTCATGTTTCTAGCTCAGTTAAAAAGGCAGGGCCACAGATCTTTGTCCCATTTATATGTTATTTAATACTAACATTTTGGAATTTCAGCCAACTGTCCTCAGCAGATCAGATGTCAGACACACCTTTCTGTGAAGAGATATTGATCAGATATTTACTAGATTGCACAGCCGCCATTAGAGCCCTACATTTTTTTTCTAGGCTAAGCTAATGAGATAGCTTTGTTTTTTTTATGCTTGGTTTACATTAGTTAGCCCTAGCAACCTCCCCATCAAAATGCTAGGTGGCGCTATATTTAATCATTTAGTCAACGATTTGAGTTGTTTTAATCTTCAAAGGCTTTGCTGTTAACCAAGATAGAGTATAGCCATTGGCCGGTGGTCAGAAATGTATAGTTTGTTTTGTTTCTTTTTCTAAAACTGGTACTTGTATACATGGTTTTCCGCTATATACCCTAAACAGCGGCATCTACCCCGTTTCAGAGTTGTGGCTGACACATAATTATAGTCTACCTGTTACTGTTACTCTACCATAAATAATAAACATACCCATGGGGAAGTGCTCAGTTTATCATTAAACAACATCTGTCGTTGGTTTGTTGTAGCTCATAAGTTTAACATTGTAAGGTTTAAGTACTAAATTTATCGACTATCTCTGCTGAAGTCAGCTTCATTTTTGCTAATGGAGTCAGTGAATCCCAGCATTTTCTTAGTCAATGAACGTCTGTGTCTGTGTAAAAAAAAAAAAATCATGTTATAAAATAATTATGAAGAGTCATGATGCCATATAATGTCACGATTATATGGTGAGCAGGGCTTAACAGCAGTCATACACACGTCCTGAATTAGACTGACTTCAGCAAAGGTGGGAGCTTGGATTTTGACTTAAATGAGTCTGTTTGAAGGCATATGTATCAGACAGATGCTAGGGGTGGTGAGCAACCGACACTCGTATATTACGACAACTACATACATTATTTTCCATGGTCTGTCTTCTCAGGTGGATTTGCTTTCGTGTATGAAGCCCAAGACATGAGCAGTGGCAAAGACTTTGCTCTAAAGGTACACACACACACACACACACACACACACACCCCAGATACAACAGATACATCAGATACATCAGACACCCCTGAACATCAGATACCCTCCAACTCAGTGTGGACCTGAAAAATGTCCCCACTAGGACAGAATTTTGTTCATGTTCCCACTAGTATAGTAAACATGCACACATACTCATATCTTTTCTTGATGAATTTTATTAGGGTCATAGTTTTGTCCACATTTGTTAAGTGTTCATCGCAGTACACTGTGTCAGTAGGTCATTTGGGGAACGTTATGAACATCCGACCACATGAGATTTGAACCACAAACCTTTAAAATAAGATGTGACGTGTTTATGCTCGTGTCTGTCTTTCAGAGGCTGCTGTCCAACGAAGAGGAGAAAAACAAGGAGATCATACAGGAAGTCTGCTTCATGGTATTCATTTTTATTTTCAGACCGTCGTGAAAGACTCGTTTGTTTTCGTCAAATCCTAATGCAGTGTCTCTGATTGATGATGACGCTGCAAAGCCGCGTTTTGACAATGCAGTAAGATTAGTGACAGACCATCATTACTGCTGTTTACTGTCGACAACAAACAATTTACCGGCAACAACGTCCAGGGGGAGATTTGAATTTGCTGTCAACGTTTAAACTCGTTTTTTGGTTTGGGTTTTCTATGACTCTAGTGATGGGAAGACCAACTCTTTTTACTGATTCAGATCTTTGACTCTCGAACAGTAAAATGAATGAGTTGTGAATGAATCTTGAATGAATAATTTCATTTGTTTTACAGCAGGTGGCGCTTAGCCCTATTGTGGGCGTTGTAAAGAAGGCTGCGGTTCTCAGACACTAAATACTGAAGGCAACATGGTTTGCTTCTGCTGACAAAGTCTACAAAGTACACAAAATGCCATAAGCAATTAAACCATGTGAAAACATACAGAAAAACACACCACAATGTGAAGATGAATGAGAGCAAAAGAGACCCGAGCTCTCTGTCACGTGACAAATGAAATGAATCTGTGAGAACGAAGCAAAAGATTAGTTCACAGCGAAAGGTTCGTTGACAGAGAGTGATTCGTTCATAGTGATTCGTTCACGGCGAAAGATTAGTCCACAGCGAAAGATTAGTTCACTGCGAAAGATTAGTTCACAGCGAAAGATTAGGTCAGAGAGTGTGTCGTTCGTATCGAAATGTTAGTTCACTGCGAAAGATTAGTTCACTGCGAAAGATTAGTTCACATAGAGTGATTCGTTCATAGTGATTCGTTCACGGCGAAAGATTAGTCCACAGCGAAAGATTAGTTCACTGCGAAAGATTAGTTCACTGCGAAAGATTAGTTCACTGCGAAAGATTAGTTCACATAGAGTGATTCGTTCATAGTGAAAGATTAGTTCACAGTGAAAGATTAGTTTGCAGAGCGTAATTTGTTCGTAGTGAAAGATTAGTTCACAGTGAAAGATTAGTTTGCAGAGAGTGATTAGTTCGCAGTCAGCGATTTGTTTACTGTGAGCGATTCGTTTGCAGTGAGTGATTCGTTTGCAATGAGTGAGTAGTTCACAGTGAAAGATTAGTTTGCAGAGAGTGATTAATTCACAGAGAGTGATTTGTGAGTTCAATATGAACAAATCTTTCATATGACTCGGGAGTCGTATTGAACGAATCACTCGTGAACGACACATCACTATATGACTGTTCTGTATCTTTTCCCAGGAGATTAGCATGTTTGATAAATAAATAGAGGCGAGAGAACACCAATAATACACACACATGTTGTTCACTGATTCACACTGGTTATGATTATGAAATTGTTATATATATATTATATATATGTGTTTGTGTGTATATATATATGTGTGTATATATGTATATATATATTATTTTATGTTTATTTATTTATTTGTCATTTCTGTTAAATTCACCTGTGTAGTTTACATGGTGTCTATCCTGCTTTGTGACCATGACCTTTTGACCTCCATAGAAAAAGCTGTCAGGTCATCCCAACATGGTCCAGTTCTGCTCCGCTGCGTCCATCAGCAAAGACGAATCTGGCACTGGACAGGCCGAATTCCTGATCCTCACTGAGCTGTGTAAAGGTACACACACGCACGCACATGCACACTCATGCACACACACAGACACACACAGGGTTTATACTAATCGGGTCAGAGATGGGGAGAATACAGGAAGTTGTGTGCAAATAGCCAAGTATGACCTGATTAAACTCTGTAATTGGGCCACATGTAACGAAATACAGACCACATTTTCATGATGCCTTTATTTGTCACATGTCACACGTACAAGTACCCGAGTACCCAGACAGTCAGTTATATTAAAATAATTAAAAACATTAAAATAATCATAGACCTGCTACAGACCTAAATAAAACTGAACAGAAATGAAACTGTTTCATATCCTATTGGTCTGTCTACTGCCTGCTGTCTACTGCCCCAGGCTGTTCCCCAGGCTGTGCCCTAGTCAGTGCAGTCACTTTAACTGAAAGACATGAGAGATGATGAAACACTTCCTGTCTGGGACCTTCTTTCTTCTTGTTCTGTTTCTGCAGTCGTTTTTCTTTCCTTAAAAAAAAAAATTAAATCAATATTATTCTGGTGGCCCCCAAATCCACAGTTTTCCAGTGTGGGCTTTAGGACCCTATCATAAAACAACATCCTGTCCACGACCGTCAGATGGTTAAGGGCTTACAAGTATTTGCTGGAAAACTTTTATTAAACAGATCCTTAATAGTCAAACTTCAGACTTACTTAATATGGTTTTTAGTAGTGTAATTATCATAGATTTGACTTAATTGTCTTTTCAAAATAAAATCTCACTGTACTTCAGTGTACAAGAAACAAAGAGTATCGCAGTAAAATTAACAGAAAATACAGTTCCATTCTCGGAAGAAGAGAATCTTGGGTTCAATTCACAGAGAAACCACATACTTGGCACCTGCCAGGGGCAGCCTGTTGCAGCAGATCAGTTGTTAACACAAGAATTTCCCAAATATAGGATCAGTAAAGTTCAAATTAATTTTTTTACACTATAAAAATACCCATAAAAACCCAATGTTTTTAAAATTAAAAATGTTTTTCCTAAAACCTTTTCGTGCTTTACTCCTGATCCTCCTGCTCGTCTTCCACCTCAGGTCAGCTGGTGGACTTCATGAAGCGGGTAGAGCAGCGTGCCCCCCTGTCATGTGACACAGTGCTGAAAATCTTCTACCAGGCGTGTCGCGCCGTGCAGCACATGCACAAACAGAAACCTCCGATCATTCACCGGGACCTGAAGGTACGTCAGGCTATGACCACGGAGCGCGTGGATGTTTACGAACAGTCGTGTCGTGTAAATGAAAACTGACTTCACCGCGGTCACGGTCGCCGGTGACGCTTATAAACACAAAGGTCGACATCACAGCACTTCCTTTGATGTGTTGCAGATTGAGAACCTTTTAATTAGTAACCAGGGCACCGTCAAGCTCTGTGACTTTGGCAGCGCCACCACAGTGTCGCATTACCCTGACTACAGCTGGTCGGCACAGAAGAGGTCGATGGTGGAGGACGAGGTACACACACACAGAGCCTACCTAAGTGTCACAGTTTTCCGTGGTTTAATCATGAGCCGCGATTAATCGTGATTAAAACTATTCGCGATTAATTGTAATTAATCAGGATTGTCAGACATTCCAATATATGGCAGAAAAAAATTTAAATGAATGAAATTAATGTGTTTCGACAGACAATTTATTTATATATTTAATCATATTAGGTTTTTACTTTCACTGTTTTTACTGCCTTTCCTTTGTTGATAATTTGATACTGTGTATCATTTTTTTATGACAGTGTCTGATACTTTTTTGTTAAATATAATCTTAGTTCTAATTTATAAATATTATTGTAACTATTTTCACTCATCATCAACGGTGAGTCCATCAACAGAGACTGAAAATAACCCTGCTGGCATCACGCGACGGAACAGGAACCAAAAAACATTTAATTCCATTAATCAGTGCACAGGGAGGAAGTACCGATCATTTGAGTTAATTACGTTAATACTATAGACCCGCAGGCTCACATACAGGAAGTACACAGGACCCCAGAGATTTGAATATAATATTATTCAGGCAGCTGCTGGACGGAATAGTCAGGCTTCAACAGGTTAGGCCATTGTTTACCAAAGATTGGGTCGCGACCCTCAGGTGGCTCGCAAGAGATTTTCTTTTTTGGGGGTCGTCTATTGACCTGGGTGGTGAAGGTTTGTGACTTTTAAAATATGGATGCCCAGAAATAAAATTTGTGAAACACTGGGTTAGGCTACATGTTAACAAGGGTACGAAGTCGCTAGTGCTATTCCCATAATAGCACCGGCGACTTCGTCCCCTTTCTTTTAAAAGTCTATGCTTTATTTGAACATATTGTATTATCACTATTACAAATAAAAAACTTTGTGTGTGTTTGTAATGTTTTTTTTTTTCGATCTGTAGATCACACGGAACACAACCCCAGCGTACAGAACTCCGGAGATGATTGACATCTACTCCAACTTCCCCATCAATGAGAAACAAGACATCTGGGTCAGAACCAACACTGTGTGCTGTGTGTTTGAAAGCATTTGATATGGAAGTAGATTAATGAAAACTACCCATGATGCATTCAGTAGTTAGTTAGTGTCTTAAAAAAAAAAACGAAGCGTGTGATTTTATTGGTCGACGTTAACTGTAATTCCTTCTCGCCCCTGTAGGCTCTGGGATGCATCCTGTACCTGTTGTGTTTTAAGCAGCACCCGTTCGAGGAGGGGGCCAAGCTACAGATCGTGAATGGGAAATACTCCATCCCTCAGAATGATGTCCAGTACACAGTGTATCATGAACTGATGCGTATGTACTTCCCTTCTTTTTTTAACGAGTTCTATTTAAAGAAATATTTTTTAAAGCGTTACCTTAACCTGTCCTGTCTCACCAGGCTCCATGTTGAAGGTCAACCCAGATGACCGTCTATCTATCACAGAGTTGGTCAACCAGCTCCAGGAGATAGCAGCAGCCCGAAACGTCAACCCCAAATCTCCCATCACAGAGGTAGGCATCAGCAGAACTGTATGCATAGAAGAATGAGGGAATATAATATACGACTGATTTAATAGATGTTAGCATTGTCCTTTAAAGATAACAACTGCACTGCCCACCACCTGTAGTCCATGTAGTCAACTCTCTCTGTCAGTTATCAACTGACCTCTTTAATGGTGTTTCCATAGTGTAGCAGTTTAGCACGTATACCTCGGAGACAGAGAGCAGGTAGTCCTGGGTTCGGTTCCCAGAGGAACCACATACATACCTTACAGCAGGTCGGCTGCTAACACAAGAAGTGTGGGTTCAAAAGAGTTCAAATAATAATAATAATAATTATTATTATTATTATTCTTATTAATAATCTGTTGACATGTCCTATGCTGTCACACTGGGTGATAAAAAATATTTATAGATGTGTATGCATGTATGTATATATTGTAAATACAGTATGTGTGTACATTTATATATGTCTATAGATATATGTAGTATGTAAATATAGGTGTATATATAGGTATATTCCTAGATAGAACTTTATTAACTCCTATATATATATTTATATAGGTTATATATAATACACATACAGTATATATATATGTGTGTATATATATATTTATATGTATGTATACATACATGTATACATACATATACATACATATATACATATTATATATAAATAATATATATATGTATACATGTATGTATGTATGTATACATACATGTATGTATGTATGTATGTATACATACATGTATGTATGTATACGTGTGTGTATAAGTGTGTGTATACGTGTGTGTATACGTGTATCTGTGTATACATGCATGTATACGTGTATGTATGTATACGTGTATGTATGTATACACGTGTGTGTATGTGTGTGTATGTATACGTGTGTGTATACACGTGTGTGTGTGTATGTGTGTATACACGTATCTGTGTATACACGTATCTGTATGCATGCATGCGTGTATGCATGCATGCATGCCTGTATGCCTGTATGCATGCATGCCTGTATGCATGCATGCCTGTATGCATGCATGCCTGTATGCATG